TAGATAGTCAGCTATTTCAATTTAGATACAAATAAGAATTATAATAATTACAGACCTCTGTTCAATGTATTTTCCATTATTTCTTTCCTTTAGCTCCTTCCTGGCTCAAAGATAATGCCACAACTATATATTTCTCTTTTGGAGCTGAGGATACTCGCAACATTTCATCTATTGTCACATTTGTCAGGACTTCCTGAATAGAACTTGAAAATTCAGTAATTTAGTTGATAGCCTTTCAGATGATACTTCCTTTAAAGTTAAGTGGTCTAACAGAAGCAGATGATTATTATTTTTGCAATTACAGTAATGCATTTCCCAGCATGAGTGGGTAAGTGCCACCCTGGGTTGGGTTGGGCTTAAAAACCAAGGGAAAGCCCCCAGACAAACAGAAGAAGTGCACATCTCTGTGAGAATAAAGTGCTCATCACCCTCTCTGAATCAAGTTGTGTGTAGGGGATAGTGTTGGCCTCCGTGCATATCCTTTGAACCAGCAGGACATCTGTGGGATACTACCTAGTCAGGAGGGTGAGTACTACCTCATTTTAAAGTTTGGTGACAACCAAAACCCCCTTTTCCTACTATGTGAGGGTTTGTTTTCTGTTTTCTTCAATGAAATCATGGGTCAGAACATATCACATGAATTACTCTTTAGACAGTTGTTGGCATTTATGCTGGATTCATGGTCAGGTCATGTTTTTAAAAGCTGGATGAGGGAGTCATGGGAGTCAAGAATCAGAGGTTGAAGAAAGTATCTGAACAAAATAGATTTAAGCATCAGAGAAAAGTAAACCTAAGAGAATTGGAGGAAAAAAGTCTTTGTCGGTATTTGAGTTCTGAGGCAGGAGAACTAAGGAGAGAAATTCACTGAGAGCCACCACGTGGTTTTAGTTGCAAGCCTGCACTTTAGAATTTGTGTTTGTTTGTGTTACTGGCAGGCTGTTAGTTTTGAAATGTTTACAGAATATCTCTGCTGCTCAATTTCATTATTTATGAAATGGAGATAACATCAACTCTCCAGGGATTTTTAGGATATAACTTGTGTAATATAATTAGCACTCAGTAGCCTCTGACTGGTTCATTATGATTATGTTCTTGCCAGTCTAGCTTCTGGTCACTTAGAATGTTCTTGCTTGGAAGCAGCCTACATCACCAAAGGGCTAAAGACTTTAAGACTGAAGGCAGGTATCTGACATCTTGTCATTGTATTCTGGACAAGCATTCAGTATCCTCATATAAAAAGTAAGGATACCATTACTTTATATGGCTAAAACTGCTAATATTTGGCTGGTTTCGACTTATGGAGATATCAATTTCATATAACAACCTAAAATATGATAAAATATTAATTATACAAGAATAAATATAGACTATATAAATAAATATACAATGTAAAAATAAATATAAGATATAAAGATATCTACCCTATTTCGTTGAAGGGTGAGAAGAGATCTAATTTAAAAAAATACCTGTGAAAATGCTTTGTAAACGTCAGGCCATTATTGCTTTTTTCAGGATCCAAACAAAAATTTAAGAGAATGAGAGAGACTAGAGAGATGGTTCAGTTGGTAAAGTGCTTGCCACACAAGCATGAGGATCTGAGTTTGAGCCCTTAGAACCCACATAAACACTGAACACAGCAGTGCACAAGCTTGTAATCCCAGTACTGGGAAGGCAGAGACAAGGATTCCCTAAGGCTCTCTGGCCATCCAGTCTAGCTGAGCCAGTGGGCACTAGGTTCAGTGAGAGAACTTTTCTCAAAAAATAAGGTGGAAGAGCTAGGTGTGGTGGCTTTAGTCCCAGCACTAGGAAGACAGGCAAGCAGATCTCTATGAGATTGAGGCTGGCCTGATCCACACAGTTCCAGGCCAGCTGGGGCTTCATGGAGACCTTGTCTCAAAAAGGCCAAAAATAAATGAAGAAGAGACATCTGATGTCGAGCTCTGGCCTCTACATGCATGCTCACACATGTGCATGTGACCCCCCTCAACAAACACAGACACACACACCACCACCACCACCACCACCACCACCACCACCACCACCACCACCACTACCAACAACAACAACAACAACAAAAGAGAAGCAAAACTATATACCAAATCCTGCTACTCTGTGGGGGAATTCTGCAGTACTGAGTAAGGTTGGTTATCTTGCTGCTTGCGTCCCATAGTATAAGATAGGGGATTTTAAAGATTGGGCAAAGAAGAGGGGATATTTTTTTGGAACAACACTCTGACTATAAATTCCAGCACCCATAGACTTAACACTGGGAGTGGTGAAGCCAGCAGCAAGCTACCCTGGCTCACTCAGTCTCTTAGAATTTCTCATAGACCAATAGGACTTGATAGTATTACTGTACTGTGCCTGGCACAGAGTAGGCAACAACAAATAGTTGAATGAATTGTGAATGACTAAGTGATCTAACTGATTGAAAGTAGAAAGTGAAAATAAAATCAAAGTTTAGTATCCAAGACTCAACCTTGAGACTTGGATCTAAACGTGGCCTGTAGGGTATGTGAAGCCGAGGATTGCTAGGGAGTAGATTGACCAACCTCCTAGGTCCTTTCCATTGCTGCTTGCTGTGGGATGTGAGGCAGCACAGGCAACTTAACATTCTCAAATTTGCAGCATCTAATGGCAGAAGCAGGAGCTCCCCACTTTGTCCCTCTTATTTCAGTCTCTGGCCACTGCTGGTAGCTGGCAATAATTGCTTGGGTTGTTTCATCATCATTGTAGCTGCTAGTATGGTTATTTTCTTGGAAATTTAATCAGTAAATGTAAGATTTAGAACTAGCTTCACAACGTGCAGAGAACAAGAGGCTGTACAGTGTGTGTCACTTCTGCCTCTTGAGGCTCAGGAATCATTGTGGAAGAGGGGGTGGAAAGATTGTAAGAGCCAGAGGTGGTGGCTGACCACAAGGAAACAGTCTTCCGGACAGCTGGTCAGTTAATCATTTGAACTCACAGTAATGGTGACAGCATGCACAAGTCCCATACAAGCTCAAACCAGACAAAATCCCAGCATAGACATGGGAAAGTGGGTAAGAAACCCCAACTCAACCTAAGGAAATTGTGGCAGTGGCTTCTGGGAGGGGGAGCAACAATCTTTTTCAAGGATGGGACTCTTAGTAGGCTACCCAGGCTCCAGTGAATGGACCCACACTGAAGGACAATTGTAGACACAAATTAGACCCTATAGGCTATATATATAAAGGCATTAAATTGGGCAGGTGCAGAAGATATGGGAGAGAATCTAAATGCCATCAAATGATATTGTATGAAAAATGCAAAAATTCAATTGAAAAAGGGAAAAAGAACTGGCATCACTGTGTGTTCTGAGAGTGCAGCATGGTGTAGTCATTGTGCTGTCTGAAAGTTCTGGGCTCCACCAAATACTCCATTCAAATGAGTTTCTTCTGATACAGGATTTCCTGTTTCCAGGAAGGGGTCTGTTTTCAACAACCACTGCTTCATCTCAGTTAAGGCTGTTGACTCAGGATAAAAGAAATAGTTGGTAATTCTCCAGAATTTGGGGGAATTTCCTCTTACCCACACGGGGAGAATGAGCCTCTAAGAGACTCATATATTGAAACCCATGAGAGATGGTCTTTCGAAGACTGGAAGGCTCCCAGCTCTTGCCCAGGGCTTCCTCTTCCCTTGTAATCAGGGAAGGTTTTGTGGATTCTGGGAAGCTGGGAAAGGAGATTTTTGGTTTTGATTTGCAGTACCTTTCACAAGGCTATGGTGAGATCTTGTGGCTACTCTTACAATCTATCATTCTAGTGACAGGAAATTTTGTAATTTCCTCCTATAGCTAGTAAAAACTGCCATCTGTGTGGGGTGTGTGTGTGTGTGTGTGTGTGTGTGTGTGTGTGTGTTGTGCAGGTGTGCCTGCCCATGATTGTGCAGAGGCCAGAAAAGGACATTGGAGTGTTCTGCTCTATCACTGTCTGCCTTATTTCCTTGAGACAGGGTCTCCAACTGAAACTGGGGCTTGGTTGGTGGCCAGAAAACTCCAGAAATCCTTCTGTCTTTGTCCTTCACACAGTGGGGTTACAGGCAGGCAAGGGTTTTGGGGGATTTTTTACCTCAGGTTACACTTGTGTAACAAGTGCTCTTCCCTACTGAGCCATTTCCCCAACTCAATACCTGTCTTTTGAACCATCAATGTTGCACCTTCCAAGCCGATTTCTCCTTTCTGCTCTTAAAGTCTTTTTTCGTTTAGAATATAATTATCTGAGTAGGTTCCTGCCACCTGAGGATAAAGATTTTCCAGATCTCTGAGATTCCATGCAGGTTTCCTTGGCTGAAGTTTTGAGTGAACTCAAGTTCTTCAATAGCACAGTGACCTACCATTGGTAACTAGGATTGCCTCAGTGTACAGATTTTACTTGTTGAACTCTATAACTGAGTTTGTTTCTGAGCTATTGGGAGACACCATCCATTTGTTCATATTTACTACCAACAAGCAATTTTCTATGGTGGTTCTTTGTAGTAAGAAGAGTAAGTAGAAAAGTCCCTGGAGGATAAACATGCATTACAATGAGGACCCTTGTCCTGCTGGCAGTACTTGTTGGCTTTCCACAGTCATTACTTCACTTCTCTTTAGTTGCTCTGTGTCCTCCCTGCACAGTTATCACCACAGAATATTTGACATCACAGTCCCATTTTCTTATCACTGCAAGTAGACCCAAGTCTTTCACCCCTTTTCTGCTCAAACCCTCTGGAAGAATGATGATTGACAATCGTCAGTAACAGTAACTCACTCTGACGTTTGTAGTTTGGAAAAAAATGTTCTTGCTGTTCTTTTGTCTTTTTCCCCTTCTGGGTATTAAAAAGCTACAGTCTTGCTCTTTAAGTAGGGTTGGGCTCTTTTATTCCCAGCCCGTAGCTGGGACAGTATTCAAGAAATCCAAGAATGCCTGAGACCATTGCCAGCTGATTTGTAAGATTTGGGCTAGAATGCAGGTGTCGTAGTTTCTAGAAAGCCACTTTTAAAACGGCGAGTTCTTCAGTTTTGTCTTCGGGAGTGATAGTGCTGTTGAATTTAAAGCTTTTAAAAAATTTTCCACAAATAACAGGTGAGTGTTCTCATGATAAAGGAATGAAGTAATGATTGCAATTGATTTAAAAATATGTGTTAAATTTTAATTAGTCATAGATTTCAAAATGAAAAATAACTGTTCAGTAATAATTTTAGCTTTAACATATATAATAATTCATTTACTAAATTGTTAGGACTGGCAGCTTCTCTGTATTTATAAAGTTTTCATATTCCTCCCTTTCCAATATGCTTTTTGGACATATAAATAAATGGGAGTGAAGACTAAAAAGCATGTTTTCTCTTAAGAGCTAGAGATAAAGACAAATTTCTAATGATTAGACAAAAAAGGATGCCAGTGTATAATCACTAATTTTGATTTCATTTCATTTTTTTTAAATTTTATTTTTTAAATTTTTTGTTACATTTTATTTAGTGTGTGTGTGTGTGTATGTGTGTGTGTGTGTGTGTACATGTGCATGCCACAGCATACCTGTAAAAGTCAGGGACTGAACTCATATCATCAGACTTGATGGCAGGTACCTCTACCCACTATCCATCTTTCTGACCCCCATGATGAATTTTTTAAGACACATTTATTCTTCATTGAGAAATTTAAAATGTCCATTGACATTTTATGCTCATTTAAATCGAAGTTACCCTATCTTGAGAGAAGAAATTCCATAGAGTAACATTAGGCATTAACTATTGTTAATATACAACCAGTGTTTGGATCCTTTATTGATAACATTTTTATTCTTACTATTTTCTTGGTTTTGTGAATTAAGATTTTGTTACGTAGCTTAGGTTGGCCTCAAGCTTGCTATGTAGCCTACCAGGCACTGAACTCACAACTGAACTCCTGACTCAGCCTCCTGAGTGCTGATATTGCAGGCATGTGCCATCACTCCTGACATTAAATTTTTTTAAATTTAATTTTATATTATGTGTATGTATGTTGCCTGCATGTATATAAGTGCACCAGTGTATGCAATGCCTTTGGAAGCCAGAAGACAGAGGCCATTGGATCCCCTAGAACTGGAGTTTATGGGGATGGTTGTTAGCCACCATGTGGGTGCTGGGACGTGAACCTGGGTCCTCTCCAAGAGCAGCCAGTGTTCTTAACCATTGAGCTATCTCTCCAGCCCATGCCCTGATGTTAAAAAAACATATATATATATATAATGCATATTTTTAAAATTTTATGTGTATAGTGTATTGCTTGCATGTAGGTAGGTGTAATCGTGTTGTGCAATGCCAGCAGGAGGTCAGAAGAGGGCGTTGAATTCCCTGGAACTGGAGTTATAGATGGTTGTTCGCCACCATGTAGGTGCTGGGAACCAAACCCAGGTCCTCTGCAAGAGCAGCCAATGCTCTTAACTGCTGAGCCATGTCTCCAGCCCCCCTGACTTTTTTTTTTTGGTCTTTTTGAGACAGGGTCTCCCTGTAGCCCCAGCTGTCCTGGAACTCGCTATATAGACCAGGCTGGCCTCGAACTCACAGAGATCCGCCTGCCTCTGCCTCCCAAGTGCTGGGATTAAAGGCCTGCACCACCACGCCCAGCATATGTTTGTTTTTTTTAAAGACAGGGTCTTACTATGTAGCCTTGACTGGTCTGGAACTCACTATATAGACCAGACTGGCCTCAAACTTAAGAGATCCACCTGCCTTTGCATCCCAAGTGCTGATATTAAAAGCATTATGCCTAGCTCCTGGCACATCTTTATTCCTATAGATCCAAATTCTCATTGTGCTTTATTACTTTAGTATTTCACTTAGTAGGCATTTCAGTTGGCTTGTGTATAAGAAAATTTTATCTCTGTAGCTTTTTCTAGAAATTTTCACGTTTTTAAAAAGTGATTAATTTTATTTAGAACTCATTTCCACACTCTTCTCCCTCCATCATCATCTGTCAGAGGAAAATGTAGCATTGCTTATTTCTTCCTGGAATGCGTTACTGCTTTTACATTTGCTTCATCCTTAGACTCTCCCAGCCTCTCATCTGGGATGAGAGGGGGAGCTACCAGTTGTTTTATTCTTATTAACCATTACATTGCAAAAGCAGTTTTCAATGTCTACTATGTAGCAGGCATTGCCTTGAATACTAAGGCTTCTGAAAGAATAAAAGAGGCTCCACTGTCACAGAGCTGTCAGTGTAGGGGATGCCAACAAGCATATTGCTGAGCTCTGTTTAGTGTGACTGCTATGGCACACATGGCATGTAAGGGATGGTGAGGCTCAAAGGAGGGACTGACTGCTCAGTGAGCATTCAGGGAGGACATCCTAGTGTAGGTTGGCCTTGAGATGAGTCTGGAAAGTAATTAATTTTCTGGGAATAGGGATGTGTTAGGCAAAACAAAATATCTTGTTTTTGTTCTACTATTATACCACAATTATCACAGAAGACTTCTAACACTAGAGGGTGGGAATTTCTCCCATATCAAGCAATATATTTTAGTTCTGATACTGTCTGCCTGCCTGGAAGTAGCATCAGATCCCATAGGTTGGAAGCATAGACCCCAAGACTCCCTCCTCTCAAATGTAGATGCCAGTCCCATTTTATCTGTGCTTTTGACAAATTGGCTATAAATTGTGGGTTTTACAACACCCTTTTGGGGGTTTAGCTAATTTGTTTGAATAGCTCGCTGAACTCAGGGGAGCAGGTTTCCAGGTTGTTATAAAGGATATTAGAAAAGCTACAGATGAAGAGATGCATAGTGAGAGGCATGGGGTAGGGGTGTGGAGGAGCTTCTGTCACCTGCCAGGTGTTTTGTGGGGATTTCATTGCATAGGCTTGGTTTCTAGTAGATTGGGTGGGAAAGCCCAGCAAGGCCTGTATTTAAATCCTTTCTTCCTCCAGGGAATGGGACAGGATCCTTCTGTATGAATGCCAACCCTAAAGGACAAGAATAGGTAGGCTAGAGTATTCTTTTATGGCTAGTACCAAGATAGAAAAACAGGGAAGCCAGCATGGGGACTCTTGCCTGTAATCCTAGCACTTGGGTGACTTGGGCAGGAGGATTTGCTACTGTGAGTTCAAGGTCAGCTTTGGTTATATAATGAGCTCTAAGTTAGACTTAGCTATAGTGTCTCATAAAAGAAAGTAAAAAAGAAAGAAGAAAGGAAGGAAAGGAAAAAAGATAAAGGAAAGAAAGTTGGGGAAAGTTAGAATTTCTATTAGAGTTACTATGACTCACCTCAGGAAAGAGAAATTTTAATTTCTATGGTGTGCCTTGGGGAAGCAGTTATGAGTTAAGAACCATGGGTAAAAACAAAACAAAAAACCCCATACATCATAATACTCTAAGAGAAAGTGGTCCTTATAGGCATGTACAATGCATGGATACATGAAATGGCAGGGTGCTTCTGGGAAACTGGGTTGTTTCATTGGGCTCAGTGATCAGGAGCTCAGATCTGTACAGATTCAGGATACCCTTTACCCCAGATGATATTCTTGGTGGTGGTTGTGCATTGAATATTGCAGAGTATATACAATATGAACAAGAGAAAGCCTATTGTTAGTGCACATATTTAAAATGGGGACTAATGCGGTAATTATGAAAAGATCTGTGTGGTGACAGCCATCAATAATAGCATGGCATGGCATAGAACAGAACAGAATAGAATAGAGTAGAAATAAAACCCTTCCTCCTTACCCAAATCCCAAAATCTGCTTGTCACTGGAATAATGTTAAAAATAAATGGGAAGCAATTTATCTCTTGTCTGATGATTTTTTTTGAGTGAAGAGGCAACTTATAGAATGGAAAAAAAAATCTTTGCCAGCTATACCTCTGAGAGAGGGTTAGTATCTAGAATATATAAGGAAGTCAAAATACTAAGTAGCAAAAAAAAAAACAAAAACCACAGACTCATTTAAAAATTGGAGCAAGGAACTAAACAGAGTTTTTAAAGGATGAAATGCAAATGGCTAAGAAATATATTTTTTAATGTTCAACATCTTTAGCAATCAGGGAAATGCAAAATAAAACTACTTTGAGTTTTCATCTTACCATTTAGCCAATCGGAATGGCTAAAATCCAAAAAACAAACAACAAATACTGGCTATGATGTAGGGAAAGGGGGGCACTTAATTACTGTTGGTGAGAGTGCAAACTGGTACAGCCACTATGGAAATTAGTGTAGTGATACCTCAAAAAGCTAGAAATAATCTACCACATGATCCACCCATCTCATTCTTGGGCATATAATCTAAAGAATTCTACATCCTACTACAGAGATACCTGTTCATCCATATTCACTGCTGTTCTATTTATAATAGTCAGAAAGTGAAAACAATCTAGGTGTTCATCAATTGTTGATTGAATAATGAAAGTATGGTACATTTGTATAATAGAATATGATTTAACTGTTAAGAAAAATGAAATTATAGGGCTGGAGAGATGGCTCAGTGGTTAAGAGCACCCACTGCTCTTGCAGAAGTCTAGGGTTCGATTCCCCAGGTTGGCTAAAAATCGTCTGTAACTCCAGTTCCAAGGTAATCCAACACCCTCTTCAGACTCCGTGGGCATTGCACAACATGGGTGCACTTAACACACATGCAGGCAATACACTTGTAAACATTAATAAAATATTTTAAAAAGAAAAACAAAATTATGGAAAACACAGATAAATAGAACTAGAATCATCCTAAGTGAGGTAACCCAGATCCAGAAAGACAAGCTTCACATGTCCTCTCATAAACAGATGCTAACTTTGAATCTTTAAATATGCATGTTACAAGTGGAAAATCCATAGACATTAGGAAACTAGTAAGGGGCCATGGGGAGTGAGGTGTCATGGAAGGGGAGATACAATGCAGTGATATAAAGGAAGAATGGGAAGTGATGGAGTAGAAAGGGTTAAATGGGTGGGGAATAGGAGGACAGGGCAGAGGAGGAAATATAGGGAGGGATAACTAGCCCTAAAGGCCTTTTGAAAAAACATATGGAAACTTACCACTTTGAAGTCTCTTAAAGTATATACAGGTACAGCATAAAATGAGTTTAAATTGAGTTACCCTACAACAGGGGGACAATGCCCCTACCAGACACCATAGGCTTGCAAATAAAAGCCCAATGCCACGAATGGACTTTTTAGAAGCTGTTGACCCAGGGTTACACAAGACACTCAAAATATACTATTTGTTGCCCTTTCTCTTTGTTACCCACCAGAACTTGACAGTAAGACCCTATTGCTGAAGATACTATGTATATGAGTCATACACCAAACAGAAAAATCAAGCTGGTGCTGACCTCAAAGCTTCATCTCTACCAACTAGCTTTTATAGTGTTGGAAGGTGTTATATATGCTACTGGAAGAGAAAAGTAATCATCAACCTTGCCAAGCTGTGAAACCTAAGAACTACGATAACAACAAACCTAGCTCTATCTTGTGAAGCAGACAATAAGTCTGTTCAGAAAGTAGTTATTACTCACATGACATTCATGCCACTATTGCACCAGTGGATATATCTTGCCAGGCCTGTTGTCTGGAAAACACTCTTTCCTCATAGTCCTCCACCACCTCTGTCTCCTACAATTTTTCCACCCATCTTCCACAATGATCCTTGGACATTGGGAGGCAAGGGCTTGATATAGATGTCCCAGTCAGGGCTCAGCACTGCAGTTTCTTATTTTCTGCATGTTGACCAGTTGTATGTCTCTATGTTATTTGACATCTGTTGTAAGAAGTTTCTCTGGTAAGAGTTGAGTGATGTATTATCTATGGGTATGACAATAAGTCATTAATATTTTGTCCATTTAACAAAATAATGGTATTAGTTTCTTCCCTATGGCTGTGACCTGTCCAGTCGCAGGTTCCTACACCAGATATATGTGCAGTTACATATATGAATTCACAGCAATTGTGACAACATGTACAAGACCTACATAAGCTCAAGCCAGACAAATTCCCAGCATAGAGGGGGAGGGGAGGCAGGGGGAGGGGCGAGGTGAGTAAAGCCCCAACTCTAGCTGGGGAAATATTTGCAACTCATAGCTTCTGGTAGAGGGAGAGTATGACTCTGGGTAGGCTGACCAGGCTCCAGGGGATGAACCCACACCAAAGGGCATTTGAGGGCACAAATTAGAATCAATAGGCCTTAAAAAATGATAAGGGACATAAAACGAAGCAAAGATTAGTAAGAGGGATGGAGATGGGGAGTCTGAAAATGATCAAAATACATAATATAAAATTCTCAAAAATTCAATACAAAAGACAAAAGAACATTGACATGAGAAATTCAACTAATATATATTTGTATTGAGTCTTTGAGAATTTCATGTATTTTGATCATATTCAACCCTTGTCCCTCCCCTAATTCCTCCCAGATCCACCCATGACCTCCCCACCCCTCCCAGCCTTATGTTCTCTTTTTCTTTTATAGCCCACCTACTGCAGTTGGCGTGTAGGGTCATCCACTGATGGATGGTAGTCATGGTTGACATAATTAGGGGCCACACCCTTGAAAAAACCTAACCCTAACTCTCCCCGAGAGCCAGCAACTCTCAATAGCTCTTAGGCTAGGGGTGGAGGTTCTTGTGCCCCTCCCCTGTCTGTGCTGGAATGTTGACTGGATTGATCATGTGCAGAGAACCACAGCTGCTATGAGCTCATGAGTGCCATGGTCCTGTCACATCCAGAAGACACTCCTTCATTCTAGTCCTCCCTAACCTCTGGCTCTTACAGTCTTTCTGCCTCCTCTTCTATAATAGTCCCTGAGTCTTGGGAGGAGGGCGTGTGATACAGATGTCCCATGTGGAATGCTGAAAATTTCACAGACACTTGTTCTCTGCACTTTGACCAGTTGTAAATTTCTTCAATAACCACCATTCACTGCATAAACTTATTTGATGAGGTCTGAGAGCTGCACTAAATTATGGATAGAGATACAAATTTAGAAGGCAGCTTGATACTGTATTCAAAACAATACTATTATTAGCAAAATAATAGTAATAAATTCAACTCTGGGGCCTATGAGCTCCCCACCCATGGGTTTTTAACCAGATTTAAAATGCCAGACATAATTTCTTCTGTGGAGTGGGTCTTAAAACCAATCAGAAAGTGGTTGGCTACCCCCATAGTATTCATGCTGCTGTTGTACTCCATAGACATTTCTTACCAGGCCAGGTATTATTGTAGCTCACATGATTCACAGCTGGGTAAGACTGTTGGTGACCTTTTTCTTCCAGCAGCCTGCATAGCACCTTCTGGAACTATGAAAACTAGCCATCAAGGAAGAAGCTTCCTGGTCAATACCAACTTTATTCCTCCATGTTGTGTGATCAAAGTGTGTTATGAAGGGAAAAGGGGAAAAGTTTAAGTGGGAAGAGGAATGTGGGGGAGGGATAACTAACACTAAGGGTATTTGAAAAAAGCTATATGGAAACATATATTTTATGATTCGTGTGTGTGTATATTATATATACATACATCTGTGTGTGTGTGTGTATATATATATGTGTGTGTGTGTGTGTGTGTGTGTGTGACTTTATTTGGAGGGTCTGGAGAGATGGCTCAGTGGTTAAGAGCACTGGCTGCTTTTGGAGGGCCTGGTTTGATTCCTATCAGCCATGTGGTGGCTAAAAACTGTAACTCCAGTTTCAGGGGATCTGACACCCTCTTCTGAGCTCCGTTGGTCATTGCATGACATGGGTGCACTAACATACATGCAGGTAATACACTCATACACATAATATAAAAATACTAAAAATATTTTTAAGAAGAGTTTAATTGGGGGATAATGTTCCTCCCAGAAATTATAGGGTGCCAAGGAAAAAGCCCGGTGCCAGGTGTGGGGTACCTCCCCTTGAACTGTGAGGGATGTTCTGGAGAACCCCTCAAACCTGCTCTTGGCTGCCTAATCAGAACTTGACAATAAGACCCTATTACTGAAGACATGACTGATGACATTTTGAGTTCTCTCTCCAGCTTCCCTGTGTTAATTCTGGAACAATGTGGACCTTGATGCTGTGGGTGTTACTTTTACTCTGCAACTTCAGCCTGGCAGGTAGGTTGGCCTTTCTTGGAAGATGTGGTTCTTATGCATTTGAAGAATAATTTTTAATTATTAATAATTTTAATTATTAATAATTTAATAATTTTGCAGGGGGCAAGGGGACATCTGGACCCTGAACAGGCACAGATGAGCAACACAGAATCTGTGGCATACTGAATAGTATATGTGCATGGCTCAGATGCTTTCATGTACGGACCCACAATAGAAAGTGTATACTCTTGCATATGTAAATTTGGAGAGGATATGACCTCCAAACACGTCCAACTTGTGGTCTGTGGGCAGGATACATGTGTGTACAAATGAGTCCCAACACAGTTATAGATCACAGCATCCTGTCAGAATATCAAAAATGTTGGCCACCCCAAGGATAGCAATGAATATCGCCCAACATAAAATTATAAACTTACTTAAAACATTTTTGCTTTTTGGGGGGGTAAACTTGATTGCATGATTATAACTTGATTGCAACCACACTACACAGACTACACCCTCCTACAAGCCCCATATTCCACACTCTAAGCATGCCACATACACACTACATACTATCCACATGCTGGACACACATACATTCACACATAAACACATACTGTCATTCTTTCTGAGTCATGCAGAAAGGGAGTGTGTCAGCTTCTGAGTCATTTCACTTGGGAATTTTTTGGCTGACCTTAGTTCATCATCTCGTGGGGTTTTGCACGTTCCCTGTGACAGTTGTGAAGTATCACAGCTGTTAACATTTTGCTTGCTGGCCCAAGAACTCCCCAGGGACACTTTTTAAGCTGTGTGGGCCCTTTGTGGAACGTGTTAACTGTGTACTTCCTAATTTCCATGTAATATGTACCATTATTTGGTTCTGTCCAGTTAATTTTGGTCTTGTTAAGCATTTAAAGTTAGATATCACCATCTTTGTCATGTTTTTTAGTATATGAGATGCTAAGATAGAAATTCTGACTGAGCTGCTGAGTGCTGGGTGCTGCAGATACAGAGCTCTTGTGAAGGGTTCGGAGAAAGCACAACATGGAGGTATTTAGTACTCCCTCATTCATGTTTCATCTTTAGGGGCTCCTTTATGCATATGACAATGCTCATTTTATAGACCAAACAGATAAACGTGTATACAGACATACTTAGAACCCTTTTAAAAATTGCAAATGCTAAGACCTAAACCAAATTAGTGGCATTCATTCTGGAGCCCTTTACCCTTGCCTTCCTACTAAAATGTAATACCTCTCACAGAAGTGTTATTCAGATACACAGAGAAGTAGAACAGCCTTGTATTCTGTGATCAAGCTCACCAACTTCAAAGCCCCCTCATCTCTGAAAAGTCAAGCAGGGATGCAGAAGGAGGAGAGGCTCGGTAGCCCTTAAATTTGTTAACCTTATCTCACTTTCTTCTGGTTTCCAGTATCTTTTGATTAAAGATATTGGGATAAATGTCTACAGTCTTCAAGTTCCTGCTGTTTCCTTGCTCTTCCTTACATCAGGGCAGATGAGCAGGGTTTACATAACATCAGTGTCTGTGGAACAAGTCCTTGTGTTGCAGCTGGTCCTCTCTGGACCATCTGCTAAGGCCCAGTCTTTCCTGTTATTCACTGTGGGACAACGGGCTTTACCTGAGTGTCGGGGCATCATACTTTTACCTATCGTTGAAGTTCATGCTCAAGTTGTTTGCCTATGATTTTGAAGTTCCTCTGTGCGTAGAAACCTCTTCATCCTAATCCTGGGCCTGGTTCAGTCTTACAGATTCACCCCCATTCCCATCCTGAGCCACAAGGAAGATTCTGAATCCCTACATATTGCATTCCCCAATAGGGAGCTCACCCAAAGAGCTGCCCCAGGCCTCCCCTCTGCCACTCAGGACCGTGGGTTTATCATATATATGCAAACATGAGAACTGAGGACAATTTTAGACTAAAGACAATTTTCAGCTCATGAGCTCAGACTAACATCTTTTCAATGTTTGACAAGGTCATAATCTTCAAAAGAAGGTATATTTGATAGAGGAATCAAGTTATCTTCACATATCGAATCAAGTGCTGGGCAATGATGGGAAAAGTGGACCTGGGAGGAGTTGTGGAGGAGAGTGAGTATGATCAAATACACCATAGGAAATTCTCAAAGAACCAATTAAAAAAAAAGGAAGAAAGAAAGAAAAAGAAAAGATGGCTCACTATACAAGCATGAGGACCTGAATTCAAATTCCCAGTACCCACCCAAAAAGCTGTGTGTGGCCACCCATGTGCTTGTAACCCAGCACTTTGGGGAGCAGAGATAGGATTTCTGGGGCTTGCTGGCCACCAGCCTAGCTCCAGGTTCAGTGAGAGACTCTGTCCCAAGGGAATAAGGCAGAGAGCGATAGAGCAGAATACCCAGTGCTGTCTCTGGCCTCCACATGTGCACATGCACCCCTACACACATACATGCTCATAGATCTCAGTGTCAGAAGGGAAGCAAGGGAAAGAGGAAGAGAAGGAGGAGAAGAAGGTGAAGCCCATCACTTCTAGCAAGAAAAAACTGAAGAGAAAGAGGAGATGGGGATAAAAAGAAGGTAAAGGGGCTGGAGAGATGGCTCAGCAGTTAAGAGCACTGGCTGGTCTTGCAGAGGACTCTGGTTTGATTCCCAGCACCCACATGTTAGCTAACAACTGTCTATAACTCCAGTTCCAGGGAATTCGATGCCCTCTTCAGACATCCATGGGCATTTCACAACATGGGTGCACTTACACACATACAGGCACATACCTAAAATAAAAATAATATATTTTGAAAAAAAACAAAAACAAATAAGAAGGTAGAGCAAAGAGCTCAGATTCAATGTTCTTTGTAGGGAAAAACAGCATGCAAACGGGCCTGAGCAAATATCTGGGCTGTTTCACGGGGCACAGCATTCAAAGGTGGGGAAATCACGAAGAAGCTAATTTCAGCATCAACAGCCTATGGACTACTTCTCAAAATACTGTATATAGAGCCAGGAAAAAGAAAACCAACATGGGATTATAAAGAAATCCAAATATGTTAGAATGATAATAATTTTTTCAAAGGAAAAAGTTTGTGATATATTCAAGATATGTAAATGAGATCTAATGATTAATTTATGCCTAACAATTATCAGTCCAATAATTAGCTTAACTCAGAAATAGTGGCATTGTTATTTTCTATTTCATGTTACCTGCAACTGAAATAAAATATAAAAACATTTGTGATTTTCTTCAATAGTAACAGACAAAGATAATGATACTATTTTCATAGTTTGTTGACTATATTATGAAAGTAAATTCTCTATTTCAACATAGGATAGTAAAGATGTAATTTACTTCCATTGTTCTGTGGATCCACGAATTCTACCTAAGGCTGCCTTGGGGATGTAGACCCCTGTTCTGGGTGATAATAACTGCTTTTCCTGTTCAGTAGGGAGCTACCAGGAACAGCAGCTGGAAACATGTCTCTAGTATACAGTGTTCATGGAGAAGAAAATTTTTGCTGCACAAGGTTATGGCATAGTTCATCATTTTTGTATTTTTCTCTTATGCACACATCATTATCTAGTTATTCATATTAGTTCATTTGATGCTTTATTTGGTAGTTCATCAATGTTTACTGTTTATTTTAGTTTTTGCTTTTAAATTTTTTTAAGAATGTAAAAAGTATTCTCTTAAAAGAAACAGAAATTTAACTCTTCAAAGGGAAGAGACAGATTCATATTCTTTCCTTGGATCTGATTCATATATTATATACCTAGCAAATGCCATTTTGTAGATTTTCATTAAAATATTGAATGTTAGAAATAGTTCTGTGTACTGAAATTGTGGTTCTGTGGCTTCTTCCTAGCTCCACCAGCCAAGCCTGAGAACATTTCTTGCATTTTATACCATAACAGAAATTTGACTTGTACTTGGAGTCCAGAGAAGGAAATCAGTGCTACCAAGTACATTGTTACAATGACTTAGTAAGTATGGGAACCGTGTGTCCTCAGCAGGGCAATGGAGGATGCAGAGGTTCCTGATGCATCCATAAGTCAAGTCACTTGGGAAGGAAAATGTTCCTTAACGACAATATCTGGGTGACAGCTACACCTGTTCAGTGGCTGGGATGACATCTCAATTCCCTGCAGATACAATGATGAGATCTGGAACTGCAGAGGGAGGTTACATGGTGTCCTGTTCTCAGACTGCCAGAGTGGCTGAGAGTAGTCTCTACCTGTAAGCACAGTGGGAAATCTATTCATTTGTCATTTTCCACTATACTCCTTTCTAGAAAGTGCTATACAACTGTTCTTTTTTCATGGTTCTTAATACAGTAACTAGGGCTATTGCCTAGAATAAGAGGTAGATTTCCCTCAGTTTTATGGGACTGTTGCCAAACAACCTTCTACCAGATCAATGATTACCACATTTTCTTTACTACCTCAAGCACTCGAGCATCTCTTTTGATTATGCTTCCATTCGAATAACAGTTTTTTGGTCATTTTGAAACAGGGTCTCCCTGTAGCTCCAGCTGACCTGGAACTCACTGTGTAGACCAGGCTGGCCTTGAGATCTGCCTGCCTCTGCCTCGTGAGTGCTGGCATTAAAGGTGTGCACAATTATAGACAAAAGCCAGATATTCTAGTATTTTTTAATTTAAAATTTGAAAATAGCCAGTGAAACTATTATTTCCTTCTTCTTCCCCCCAAATTAAAGAACTCAGTCTGGACAACACTATAAGATGATTACTTTTTGTCTTTTCCACTTCAAATAGAGAGCCAATGGTGTGTGTGTGTGTGTGTGTGTGTGTGTGTGTGTGTGTGTGTGTGCACGCACGCGCTGAAAGGAAAGTCCAGTTTATTTTTTACAGTAGAAAAAAAGAACACATCATGTTTTGTGCAGTACCAATGTATCAGTGAGTATCTGTATGAGAAAGTGTTTTATTGCTTTCATTTTTTTTGTTTTGTTTGTTGAGAGAGGGTATCCCTGTAGCCCCAATGTACCTAGAACTCGATATGTAAATCAGGCTGGCCTTGAACTCGCAGAGATCCACCTGCTTCTGCCTCCCAATTGCTGGTATTAAAAGGGTGTACCACCACACCCGGCTTGCTTTCATTATTTTGGTGAAAGGGTCTTGCTTTGCAGCACAAGCCGACTTTGAACATGAACCTCCTACTACCTTCTCTTGAGTGCTGGAATTAAAGCTGTCACCACCATGCCTGACTGGAGAGATATTTTAAAACAGTGCTTAGCACACTTGTTGCACAGGGTCAGATAACAAATGCTCTAGGTGTGGAAGGAAGTCAACAGAAGTGAAGTAGCCCAAGAATAGATATGCACAGCTTGTAAGGCAATAGACACAACTCTTTCCTGGTGAAACTCTACCTGCAGATAGTGAAATTTGAATGTCATATAATTTTCACACATTACAGAGTATTCTTCTTAGTATTTATTTTTGACAATTTAACAACATGAAACTATGGGCCAAACAAGAGCACAAACGGGCTATATTTGACCTATAGGCAGTAGTTCACCCACACTTTTTAGAAAAAGTAAGAGTTCTGAAGATCTACTAGCCCATTGTCCAAATGACTTATCATCTCCCAGACTTCTTAGTTCCAGCCCACTGTTGGTCAGGAGTTAGCAATAGAATAAAAATCTAGAAACTTTAGTAGGTTTACTTCTGCTCATGTTTTATAGAGGTGACCCTCCCCTGCTATCTCCCCTAATTAGCCATCATTATTATCAGCAGCTGAACATAGAGGGGCTGCATTCCTATATCCATGCCCTGATGGCCCAAACCATCAGCTAGATTTTTTTTGAGAGTTTGTCTCTTCTGGGAAAAATGGAATGTTTTCCCTGGAGATAAGCAACTAACTCCATCAGTATTTTATGGCATGTCTATTCTATAAACAACAACAACAAAAAAACTTACTGATGCCAGAACAGTGACTCCTCCCCTGGGGAATCTAAAA